TTTTATAGGCTAATATATATATAGCCTTTCATTGTCGGCGTAACTATGCCCTGCATTTGCAACAAACTAATGAGGACACCTTGTAGTTAATCAACCAAAAAAAAAATGTTTTTCTTTATTGAAGCTTGACTCGGAAATGTCATATATATTAATGTATGACTTATTTACGAGTGAACATTAGAAGAGAATTCTCCTATATATGCCACAAACACAGACATGTACGTAAGATACCCCACATGGGAGGTACTAATTAATTATTCTTTTATTTGTAATCAAAGAAATAAACAATTGGGTTGATTCTCGCACTTAATTACTTACAATCCCTTGCCTTCCCACGATTCAAGCTTCCAACTTTGAAAACTTGCGCTATAAATCCTAATCGACTAATTTATAATTAAGCTGTTTGACTAATTAATAAGTAATCACGCATGGAGTATAGGAGTATAACGATGTGGATCAATTTTTTCAAAAAGAGAAGGCGTTCAAAAGTAATGCATGGATATATATTTATATATATATATATATATAATTGGCCAATGATGACGGAGGAGTTCACATTAGCATCGATAATTATTTTTCGAAACGAATTTTTATGCAGGAAATTCAAATTAAACACACAACACCTTGTTAAATAATGTACAATGTCACAATCAAATCCTTCGCTAATTGCTTGGGCTAATCGATTTATGGGGTCTTGGACCTTCATTAATGAACCATAAAAAGTAGCTAACGCTAAATAAAATATGTGGAAAAGTTGTGAAAAACAATGTATTTGACTCAAATCAATAGAGATTTTTCTGGGCAAAAATCAACAGAGAATGAAGCAATACCAATATATATTAATACCACTCTGTTCCTTATTATAGGTCACTTGTATCTCAAAAATTTGTTTGAAAATATCAATCACTTGTAATATAATTAATGATCTTTTAAAATTTTACCCCTATTAATTTAATAAAAAATTAATTAATCTCTCTCTCCATCTCTCTCTCAATTTTTCATTTCCTATAAATTCATCCCCCCCTCTCTCTTTCTCTCTCAACTTTTAATAAGGGTAAATATTAAAAAAAAATGGTCAATTTAATGTATTTTTTAGTTTACAGGTTTGGAATACAAGTGACTCATAATAAGAAACAGAGTGGTAGATGCCCATGGTAGTTGAGTCTCGCTGAAAAATTCTCAATTTCCCCCCACAAACGAGAGTTTGAGGCTTATTATAAATGGAAAAGATCATGTTAAAAAAACTTCTAATTGGACTCCACCATACTTAAATTCAATTTATAATAATAATAATAATAATAATAATAATATTATACAGGAAAAATGATAATTGGAGCCCCTCTAAGATCATTAATAGTAGTTGCAGATCTTGAATAATTGAAAAAATATGCATGGTACGTCCTGATGGCAATTCACAAGGACCATGATTCTTTTATGAGATTTCAATAATTAGAATTCTTTAATTCTGATTAATATTGTCATTTCCCTATTAGATATCGGATGATTATATATTTTTTTTTAAAAAGGAAACTATGAGGTTGCATTTGAAGAAAAAGCGCGCCGTACGTAAAACGCAATCCCCAGCAAACAAAAGGCTTGACTTCCTTACATCCCCAGTCATATGCTGATCATAATTCTATATATGTCTGCTATAATCACACACACACACACACACACACAAACACACACACACACACTTTTTTTTTTTTTAAACGCTGATATGCATAATAAAGCACTCTTAAAAAGAATTACATTGTACATTTATTTGATCGTTAATAATGTACCAACCATCTCTACGAATTTTGATCTAGTTTAGTTTTAGAAGAACAGATTATTTATAACTAGACTAAAACGTGTAGTTAAAGTTTAAAAACATAAAATGTGGATGATGTATTCAAATGATGGTTATAATGCCTTAGGAATTAAGTTCCTGATAGGTAATGTTTGAGGGCTTCCTCCTTAATTAACTAATTAATTAAGATAATTCATAATAACGTAAGAGTTGAAGCATATGTTGTAGACTTGTAGACATCGTTGCTTGTTTCAGGAACGCATATGGCTGGTTGTTATAGCTGGAAGTTTGGATTGGGAAGAAACCAATTTAATTAATAATAAGTTGCTCAAAATTTTCTGAATGGGGTTAATTATGTATATGATTGCGAAATTTAATTAATAAGACACTTCACTTCTATTGCAAAACAACGTAACCGCTCTATACAATAATTATTCGCAAGGGAAAAGACAATAATTATTAGGTAGTGACATGTGAACAAGCTATCTCCCACAGGTTACACCCTATCCCTTTCACATGCCAATAAAACAATATCTAATTTATTTGCTAAACTCATCAGGAATCTAGCTAGAGCCTAACACAACTTTGCCCTAATTAATTAATAACGCATAATGTGAACTGGCTTTGTATTATAAACAACTAACTTTAATTTATTTCAAAGCTCCATTTTTAGTTAGTGCACTTATCTATCTATAATATAATTACGATTAGCTCTTTCTCAAAAGAAACATGCTCATATAATATGAATATGTATGTTGTGGTGCCTAGCTTGTTTAATATACATGGCATATATGATACATAGGTAGGTATAATTATAAAAACATTACAAAAGATAATTAAAATAAAAACACTTAATCCGTGGTGATATTAATTAATTGATGACCGCATATATTTGCGTGCTTCCCTCCGGAAATTTCGATCATACCAATGAATTAATAAATGGTACATATTCTGAATATATTTATATACAAGGTGCAAAAGTAATGGAAAGTCAGGTACAACGGAAGAAACTAATTTCTCATATATGCAGTGAATTGAGATTTAAGTTCCTGCTGAAATAAGTGTCCATAATGCAGCAACACAAGTTATGCATAGATAGAATGCATGCCTTGGTACGTGTCAATCCCTTATTCAGGCGTGTGTATTCTTAAGGACATGCATATTTGTGATACGTATATAAAATAACATATCCTACACAATTTAATACTATGTGCGCAGAGAGAGAGAGAGAGAGAGAGACCTTTTTGTCTGTGCTGCATGAAGATGATTCTCACAGAATTTTTAAGAAAATAGAAAGAAAAAAGGGATGATAGATGAGAGAAGTGAATCACATGCATGTACTCATTATATATTTTTCATAAGTTAATTTATTTATAAAAAAAGTCTAGAAAGATATAAGAAATTAAAGATTGAAAGAACATTGAGGTGGAGGTGAGTACATGAAGGGATATATGTGGCCAGCAGGATTCCCTTGGTTTGAAGAATGAAAAACCTCTGGATCGGAGGATGAAAACAAGAGTGGAAGAAGTCAATTGTATGTGTTAAAAAAAGAAGACATGGAAGGCACTACGTAGTACATGATGAAACCAATGATTAGGAGTAATTTAGCAAATGATGGGAGTGATGAGGAAGAATTTGGGATTAAATAAACGGGAGAATTAAAACAGCAGGCGCTGTCATTGGCGTGGAATGTGGGAGGCTCATAATGTGTTGGTGGACATCATCATTAACAAACATGGTACAGAACAGAATGTATATATGATGAACGTTACGTTGTTAATGAAAGTTTTGTTTAGGCAAAGTCGCCTGAGATGATTGTGTGGCTGCCATTTGGGTGAACGTTGTTAAAAAAGGGGGGGGGTATTATATATATATAATATTGTATAGTTTGAAATGAATTATGTAAATAGATAAGAAGAAAAGAAAAGGAAGAGGAAATGATTGAGAGATCGAAGAAACATGTGAGGATGGATGGAGGGACGGATGAGTGGGACATTGGGTGCATGGAAGGGTACTGGGGAATATATGAGGGTGGCCGGGTGAGAGACAAATGCCAGCTTTTGCCACCTCGATCCATTCATTATGACTCTTATCCATTCATTTCTCTTTACTTCTCAACTCTGTTCCCATGTGACCCCCCAACCACCCCTTCATTCTTTTTAAAAACCTTTGCTTGTGCTCTTCCATGCAAGCATCTTGATATTCATAATAGAGGGAAAGCCATCATGAAAATGTTTGATGAGAGATGAGGCGATGAGATCCCTTGTTGGGCTTTTGGACCCAATGGAATTAAACCACAAAACAAGGCCCCATATGGGCTTTCTCAACAACAAAAATGAACACCTGCTTCTTCTGAAGGGTCAGTCTTGACCCATATGAGCTCAACCTTCAAAGTACTGTTTCTCTGATTTTGATCATTAAATTTTAAGCAGAGCTGACAATACAGGTCAAACCTGTCGGGCTTCCCAAATAAGCAAAGTGCTCACAAAGGGGAAGATTGACTTTTTAGTATTTTTAGCAAAGTGCTCACAAAGGGGAAGATTGACTTTTTAGTATTTTTCATCATGGTATTCTGAATCATAACGATGATACACAGAATGTCTGGTTTCAACTAACAAGAATACCTTCCATACAAGTTTTTCCTCTTTGGAAGGACACCTGGATTGAAATTTATTACTCATTCTCAATCAATGCAACATCAGTCATCTTTTTTTTTTTAAAAAAAAAAGGCTCTTGTCTTCCCCAACAACAAAAATGAAAACCGGCTTCTTCTGAAGTGGAGAGTCTTGACCCATATGAGCTCAACCTTCAAACTACTGTTTCTCTAATTTTGATCATTAAGTTTTAGGCAGAGCTGACAATACAGGTCAAATTGTCGGGCTTCCCAAATAAGCCCGATTCCTTTTATGTATAGAAGCCCAAATAAGCAAAGTGCTCACAGAAGGGAGGATTGACTTTTGAGTACTTTTCATCATGGTACTCTGAAAATCATAACATGATACACAGAATGTCTGGTTTCAACTAACAAGAGTACCTTCCATACAAGTTTTTCCTCTTTGGAAGAACACCTGCCTGAATTGAAATTTATTACTCATTCTCAATCAATGCAACATCAGTCATCTTTCTTTTTTTTAAAAAAAAAAAAAACAAGGCTTTTGTCTTCCACGCAGAGTACAGATTATGAGAAACAACTCTTAGCCTCCACTATTTCATCCCAACCTCTTCCCTGCCAGAACAAAAGGAAAAAGAAATCTATAGATGAAGAGTCAGATCAAGAGTTTGATCTTTCTCTTTACGATGACTCATTATGCCAATCCCGTGATCGTCGTTTGTCAATGACATGTTCCTGCGCCAATTCCTCAAGCCTCTCTCGCCGACATCTTCACAAAACCCACTGCTCGAACAGCTTCCCTCATAAAACACAGCATTCCCGCCAAATCTAGGCGCAACGTTCGCTCCAAAGTGGTCAAAAATCTGATGCGTTTGGAAGTGACCGAGGTTTGAAGCGAGGAACACGGTAGGATTCAGAAGACCCATTTGATGGGTGGGAGCACCAAAAGGCATTGGAGGCGGAAGAGAAGAAGCAAAAGAGGCAGATGAACACTCAAATGCCCTTTTAGCCTTTCTCGCAGCCGTTCTCTCTTTTTTGTGGGCATTCTGGTGTCCTCCCAAAGCTTGAGAGCTGTAAAACTTTCTCGAACAGAACTGACACTGGAAAACTCGAGAGTCTTCTTCTCCTCCTCCGACCTTGCGGACTACTTTTTCCTCATCTTCCATGTCAATACTCTGTGAAGGGAACAGCGGAAAAAGGCAGTTCAGAATCGCTGAGGCTGTTTGCGATGGAGTGTGACCAATAAATAGAGAGAGGCGTATGGGCTTGGGAAGCGGGAAGAGAAGAGATAAGAGACATTTTGCGTTTCCCAAACAAAACATTTTATTCATTCCATCTTAATCTTAGCATGATGCAACTCCATAGTTCGCAACTTGAATCTGACAACTTCGCCGTTTCATGACTTTCTTTGGCTTCTTGTCTTCATAATTATTGCCCCTTCCAACTTCTTCTCCTTCCCCACTATAAACCATTTAGAACAGTTTATAATAACTTTTTAATAGTAATTTACGGAATATGATATAAATATGTGAGAAGAATTTTGTCTCAGTTTACATAAAACGTGTTTGTAGGAAATTTCTATTATGATCTCAAACAGGCCCTGTGTATCACTTCCCCTGCCACCTTTGGAGATAGCTTTACTTTATAAAATTAATTAATTTTAAATATTTATAATTCTGTATATAGAAGACTGCTTTTCTGTTGTTTTTATAACTCCATTAAGATGGGCTTTTAAGATTCTCAGTTTGTTTTCGTCAAAATCACATTTTGACTAAAACCAACCATTTTCAGTTACACACTTCATGGATACAAGAGACCATTAATAGGAGGGAAAAAGTAGTGTGTATGTATTTGGAATTTTGAAAAAACAGGAGGCTTCATATTAATCTACCGCTATACAAGAATTTCATGTTAAACAAGTACTCCCCACCATTACAAAATATAGATCATATTTTAAAAAAATTTCTAAAATATATGTAAATTTTGTAGAATTTTAAGAATAATTAATGTTTTTGTTTCAAAAATTATCCCTAGTAAGTTTTGGATTGGATTAATATCATTGTTGGTCTTTATAATTTAATTAAATTTGAATTTTGGTCCCTATACTTAAACTCAAATTAAATCTTTATGAAACTATATGATCAAAATCAATGACTTGAAATTACAGGAATCAAAACTAAAATTGGATCAAACTATAGTTAACTATGTTAAGATTTCATTTGAAAGAAAGAAAATGTTTTTAAGACATCAACTTTTTTTTTTGGCTTTTGTGTTAGTTAAAAATGACTATATTGAGTACCAAAGGAGTATTACATTACCTAGTGATGCAAAATCGTTATATAAAAAACAACTAGTTTAATGATTTGATTTATAAATAAGACTAAAAAAAATTCTTTCTAAGTTGTAAATAGAATCAAAGGAATATGTGTTTAATTTTATTAAAAAATATCTCTTTTCATTTTTATCTTATCCTTCACCAATCATCACAATGAATGACAAAAACTAAATATACTCTTAAAATTAAAAACAAGACAAACAAAATTACAATTAAAATTATAAATTCAAACTAATCTATGGCCAAGCCTCGTAACTCAATGACACCAAACATACACATTAAGTCTTTTTAAAGCATGAGGTCTTAAGTTTAGACGCTTTGTAAAAGTACAATGAAAATGTGAGTCATGACCCCCAAAAAAAAAAAAACCAATGCATGAGAAATGGGAAGGATTGGAAAGGGGGGAAGTAAACACTAACCTACATTTTAATGTTGGGTTAAGGTGCAAATTCATTTTAGAAATTCATTCAAAATCGTTAGGCACCGGAAATTACTTTTGAGTTCAAATTTGCCACTAAAGATTTAACATCATAGCGATTTTGCCCACTGTAGGCTTAACCTTTTAATATTTTAATATTTGCAGATATTTAGGAGACGAGGGAGGAAATATTTCATGGAGGCATAAAAAACAGAAGAGAGAGAGCATTGATTGAGGAGCATAACGGCAGAAGAGACCAATGAAAAAGGGAATGAGAGCAGGTGAAGCTGGGCAGTAATAATGGATGGCATGAATGCTCTGACCACAGACTGCTCTGCAACTCACTTTGAATTGGGAGGTTATGGGGCTAACCCACTCCTCGCATTTGCCCACTCCTTACTTGCCCCCCTCACCCTTCATGTCCTTTTCCAACAACAAAAAATGTTCACTCCAATTATTTATTCCACTTTCCTTTCCTTTTTTTTTTTTCAAATATTTTTAACTTAATGGATACATTTTAAAAATTTTAACGTCATTAATTATTTTTAACTTAATAATTTAAAGAAGAACGGATGTAAGATGTACAACTTAATAATACTCCCAGAGATAAGCTATTGGTAAATACAGAACGAGGATGACAAAAACAAAACCTTTCAACACCTGCTCGTATTATAAAACATCAGTCATCCTGAATTAGAATAATTACATGCATTAACACTAAAATGGAATTTTGTTAATAAAAGCATTGAGCATACGCAGCATTTGGTAACCTTATGGTAAGGATGAAGGGCTGAGCACATCCTATGATTGTAGTATCAATATCGTGATTTAAAAATAGAGATGGAATGAGGTGGGCCCTGAACAATTTACATTAAATCAAGAACAACCAAAACATCTACTTATAGAAAATAAACTTGAAGGCGTTGGCTCTGCCTCTGCCTCTGCCTCTGACTTCTTCCGAGGAAGCTGCTTGTAAAATGCTTTCACGGCGCCTGCTACACCATCTTCATTTTCCATGGCTTTAGCAAGTTCTACAGCACGTTCCTTTACCTGGCATGATATTTACGTCAGGACACATGGCAGTTAACTTTTTTCAGAATGCACCGAACCAAATCTCACAAACCTCCAAAAAAATAATGGTGTCCCCCACAGAGATGCCCTTGGAACTAGAAGAATTTATTTTAACAGAAAGAGAGATAAAGTAAAAATAGTCAATGCATACATGAGGTTGGTCACCAATTCTACCTTCGGTACCTGGACAATAGGACAATACCGACAAGCTTGTATATCCTATGAGGCCCCTAGGGTCTAACAAGCTGCCATTTGGTTTTCCTATGTTACTTCCAAACTTTTGACCACAACGTCCCCAAACTCAAAGTGAGAAAGGTTTAGTGTTGGATCCATTGAAATAGTGGAAGGACACGAAGTTGGTACCATGTCCCAGATATAGGGCATCCTATAAGCCACTCCTCACTTTGAACATGTACTTGAAAACTTGGACAAAGTAGGATGTACAATTTGTCAGTATTACTATGTAAAACTAGAAAAAAAAAAATGTCTCCATTTTCAATCAGCAAATTCTTTTGCGGCTAACTGCTGCTTCAATATTTAGCCCAAAACCACCCACCCCCTTCTCGCAATATAAATTTCTTTCTTTCCTTTAATAAGACTTGCAATATAAATTTCAAAAGCATATATTTAAAGCGGCCAGTTATTCTAGCTCATTCAATTATCCTTATGCAACACAATTCAGCAACTTATTATCAAAGTTAACTACTATACCATAGTCATGTGAGACTTCTCGTAGGCTTTGATTTTTTTTAATCTGTTGGTGACTTAACCCTAATGGGCTTGGGCCAAAAAACCCTAGTTCATTGCTCACTTATTCTGTCATAGACCTAGTCCACTGCTGTTTGAATTTAAAATTGAGATCCTGATTGGATTTTCTTATCTTTTAATCATTATTCTGATTCCTAAGATCTAGGCCTAATCATTTGAATGATTGCTGGATGATCTGCTAGGTCAAGACCGATGTATCTATTTAACTCCCTATCAACATTGAATAAAACATAGCAATTTTGCATCAGTTTCTTCATGGTATCAGAGTGCCATGATACAGTCTGGTATGGGCCTGAATTTTGACGGCCAAAACAGCCAGACAGTGTCAATCAACCACCCCTTTGCCATGGCTATGATGACTGGGTCTTCAAACTCGTCTGCCATGACCGTAGCAACTGGTTCTTCTGACTAGTCAGGGATATCCAATGCTAACCCTACTTCAATCACCATCCACAGACTCAATGGTGAAAACTATATGTAGTGGTCCTCTAGTGTGTGTCTGTACATCATGGGAAAAGGAAAATATGGCTACCTAATTGGTGCTGTCCAGAAACCTACTATCACTGATGACAAGTTCACAAGTTAGGAGGCAGAAAATTCTATGATTCAAGCATGGTTAATAAATTCGATGACAATAGAAATAATGCACATTTCACATTTTTTCAAACAGCCAAGGAGGTGTGGGATGTTGCACGAGATATGTTTGCTTCCATAAAAAACAAGGCTGCTGTACTGGAGATAGAACGGTTTCTCCATGACTTCAAGAAAGGTAATCTATCAATTACTCAATATTACACTGACTTGATTGTTCAATGGCAACAGCTAGCTCTATATGAACCGCATGAGTGGAAGTGTGCTGAAGATGCTGCTCTCTACGCAAAAATCAAAGAAGAAAAACGAATTTTTAAATTTCTCCTTGGACTTGATGCTGCCTTTGAAGAAGTTCGAGATAGAATAATGAGTCTTGAGACTCTACCTCCCTTACGAATGGGATTGCTGAACGCAAAAATAAATATCTCCTTGAGGTTGCCCTTGGCCTTCTATTCACTTGCAATGTTCCTAAGTTTTTTTGGGGGGATGCGATTCTCATTGCTACCCATTTAATAAATCGTCTTCCTAGTCGTATTCTTTCCTATGTCACTCCTCTTGCTAAACTTAGGGAAACTCGTTCTATCAGTCATCTTGATTACACTCTACCCCTTCGAGTCTTTGGTTGTTCCGTTTTTGTACACCAACACCATCCTCCTTCCAAATTTGACCCCAGGTTTGTCAAGTGTGTTTCTAGGATATTCCAATTCCCAAAAGGGTTACAAGTGCTACGATCCTACCACCAAACACCTCTTTGTTAGCCGAGATGTTTCCTTTGTGGAACAAGAATCCTATTTCCCTAAATCTTCAATTCAGGGGAAGAGTTGGAATGAATTTCAGATTGAATTTATTCTTGAACCTGTTCCTCCCTCTGATCCTATTCAGCTTCTCAATGACCCTTCCACAGTTATGCCAAGCGCTGAAGTTGAACCAAAAATAAAACAATTTGATAAGACTTACACTCGTAGAAACAAACAGGTAGTTGG